ATACACTTTCATGAGAATATTATATCTATGTAACGAAAATAAAATGTTTCATTTAACGATAATGTTTCATAACAATGTATGTACATAACGCAAATAAAATATTTTCTTTATTTGACTAATACTGTTTCATAAGAATATTATAACTATTTAACGCAAATATAAAATACATGCTTCATCTAATTCTTCATTAATATAGTTTTATAACATCTATGTACGCGCGCGGATAATACGTGAACTTTAATGATACTTATAAATGATAATGTTAAACATTATATAACATATTTATAGTTTATATTTATATATCTATATAATGCAAATAAAATATACTTTTTATCTGATAATAATACACTTTCATGAGAATATTATATCTATGTAACGAAAATAAAATGTTTCATTTAACGATAATGTTTCATAACAATGTATGTACATAACGCAAATAAAATATTTTCTTTATTTGACTAATACTGTTTCATAAGAATATTATAACTATTTAACGCAAATATAAAATACATGCTTCATCTAATTCTTCATTAATATAGTTTTATAACATCTATGTACGCGCGCGGATAATACGTGAACTTTAATGATACTTATAAATGATAATGTTAAACATTATATAACATATTTATAGTTTATATCATCTACTCCATGATAACATTCATTAATTTTCTTCTTAATTCTGATTTTTTTGGCTCAGCAGTATTTTGTAATTCGGCCAAAATCATCTTTGTCAAAGCTTCATCTCTATCGTTAACATTATCATTCAGAAACATTCGAGTTGCCATTGCAGATACAGACTGAGATACCATATTAAGTGATTTTTCTAGCGTATCCGACGATGTTATAGGTTTCATCTTTTTCTGAAATAATGTTGATTGTTCAGATGATGTAGATTGAGGGCTTAAAGGGAATATCAAAACATTTTCTGAATCCGATCCTATGGGTGATGTCGACGACGTGAATATAAGTGATTCAGTTTGCAAATCATCCTTGACATACAAATTAAAAGTTAAAAAACTGTTTAAATATTTAAAAATTAATCAAAATACTTTCAAACCAAAAAATGTTATTACCTTATTGGTTATATCACTTAGAGGTGATTTCTGTCCATGTTTTTCTGCAGTCTTTATACATAAATTCAAGAATATCACATAAATAATCTTATATAGCAAATTTAAATTTGATTAACGTAGAGACACTTGTAAAAGTGAGTCGAAACGTTCGAACAATTATCATAAAAAAATTGTTCGGATAATATATTTTAATATATTACTAATTTTTCAGGCTTATTAACTGCGCGGTTACTCTCATTAGCTTTGCTTAAGTTTAGATATTTATTGCGTGTTTTTCACTAACTTACATTTGACTGTGAGGGCTCATTTACACTTCTGCTGATGTTGGTATATTTTCGTCTAAAATAACAATAAAAATAATGATTATAATAACTTAAAAAGAAATATATGAATAGCCTATTTTTATTAGTACTTGAATCTAATAATATAATTAGTTACCTGAATATTTTAATGTTTTTAGTTATATATAGTATAGTGATTTCAAGTAACATACATAAGCAACACTATGTAACGTGTACGATCCATGTGCCTTCTAACTACGACACAGGTCAAACTGAACTATTAGCTGTTACGATTATGTCAACTTGTGTCGTAGATGGAAAGCACAGACTCTACACTCTGTATTATACACAGTGTCGCTTGTGTGTTATATTAGAAAGTATTTATATTGTTTTTTATCAAGTTTGTTTTTGTATAAAAGTGAAATGAGTTTATGAAATAGACAAATCTTGGAAATAGCAACTCATATATCAATTAAAATAAAATTACTAATAATTTTACAACAAATAATTTATAATTTCAGAGCAACAAAAAGTGGAATATTACCTTCTTTTGTATATATGCTTGTCTATAAATGACATTTGCTCATATAAGTCCCATGGTCTTTTTTTATTAGGTGCAGAACCGCTTGGTATGAATTCCTGGCTTTGTCTTTCCTTTGAATAGTACTGTCGTAATCTACACCATCGGCTCATACATTCCTTTACTAAAATGTATAGATATTAAGTATATAATATTATTTTGACAGCGCTATAATGCAGATTATAACCTCTAACGTATGATAAATTCTCACATTCTAATATAAACGTAACACTATTCGAAGCAAGCAATATTTTAATGTAACATATACTAATATTAATTCTTTATTAATAAGATGTTTACCAGATAGATGCATTACAGTAGCTATTTCTTGCCAAGAATTGTCACATTTATTTACGTCTTTGTAATCTTTATCTTCTTTGTTCCATAAATGTGGGTACGATTTTATTAAGTCAATTAATAATTCGTCTCCTTCTTTATTACATTCACCAACATTTTCATTTTCAACGTCATTATAAACATTAGAATTTGCCATGTTTACGGAACTTGTGGAACTCATATAACTATGGTCGGCCATGTTTACGACTATTAAATTAATATCTTATTTCTAATATTCATCCTTCTTATTTCTTAATTCCTTCATTGTGCTTTGATCCATTTGATCTTTTGATTTTAGAACAAAATAATTCCTAATTCCTATTCCTAATATCTAATATCTATTCCTATTCCTCTATTGTGCGCAGACCCTTAACCCCTTTCATTTGCCTTTTCCGTGTTGTTCCGTTCCGCTATTTCTGACTCCATGTGACTGCACTCTTATA